GCTGTGCTCTGCACTCGGCATTTTAGCATCTGGTTGTGTCCGAGACAAAAGGGCCTTGGGGCTGCAGACTTCGATCCTGACTCTCAGGCTGTGTCAGGTGGATGGGGTTCACCATCACTAGTCAGATTCTTCCTCCAAGGAGCCTTCCTGACTCACCAGGGTGGGTGAGAGCCTTATTCCAGGCTTGCCTAGCATCTTTGCCTACTTTGGCTGCTGGCTGCCAGCTGCGGACCTCACAGAGAGCAGCACCAGGGGCTGGCTTGGCCCATGTGAGTCCCCGGCACCTGCAGCCTGGTCCAAGCAGGTTTCCAGAAGAGCAGGCTGCCACCATGACAGTCATTGGCCTGACCCTCACTGCCCCCACCTGACACTGAGATGGCAGGGGTAGGGGCCATGCACCCAGCATCCTCTTACAAGCAGGTACCTGTAACCATCACTGTCCTAACAGGCAGCCCCTCGGGATATGGGGCTTGTCACACACCCTTGTAACACCAAACCCCGCACAGACACTGGGACACATCCAGTCCTCGTAAGCCCCCTGTGCTGTTACCCTCACAGGCGGCCCTGAGCAGGGGCAGCTTCTTTCATCATCACCATCATGTGCCTAAGAGATTGGGATAAGGGAAGCTAGGTGTCCAGACAAGTCCACTGCCAAGGAAATCGCGGAAGGCCTTTCTGGGTCGCAGGGCACTCCCAGGCCCAGTTGGCCTGGCCCAGCCCCAGTGAGGCCTCTCACTGGCCTAAGAGCCAGGTCCACTGAGGTTCCTTTCCAAGGAGGGCCCTGCCTCAGAGGATGGCTGAGAAGTTAACAAGGTAAAGTTCTGCAGCACTGGCCTTCAAACCAAACCTCAGGGACAAATGTTTAAAACTCTGTAACTATTTGCACATTTTAAGTTGACATCTAAAATTTCTCATCATAAGTTTAAATACTTGCTGAGGATGTAACTTCCAACATACTGTAAATATTAACATTTTAAAATAAAACTGTTACTGTTTCTCTTTTAAATGGATCCAGTGGAATCTAAATACCACGGCGATTTCAGACCCCCTATCATCCATTTTAAAGTTCATACTCAAGCTCTTCCTTAGCGGTTGGAAATTTAACATGTTCCTTTCCCCCTCAAACTCCAATTTCCAATCTACTTCCCTCAGGGATGTTTATGCTGTAACCGTGTATTTTATGTTCATTGACTATTCTAGTATACTACTGGGCCAAAAAATGTGTACTTAAATGTTTTTATTTTATGTGAGTATAAAGCTCTAAGTGTCAAAATTTTCTTCTAAATTATATTACAATTACTGTTGGTATATAATTGAGGAGCATGGCAGAATATATTACCAACTTATACAAGTAATGAGAATAACAAAATAAAACCTTATTAGAAATACATCTCTGAAGGGCCAGTTCAGTGGTCTGGTGGTTAGGGAGCAAGATCCCACTTGTTGATCACACAGTTTGAACCCTGGCCCTGTCAGCCTGAAAAACATGCCAGGTACCTGTGAATGTGCACCCAAGTCCAGGCAGGAGGGAGATACGGAGAAGGGATTGCAACGCGACTGTAACCCACTGCAGGGTGCTCTCTCCCTCTCCCTGTCTCTCAGGTGAGCACACATGCCTTCTGGCAATTAAATAAAATAGTAAGAAAGAAAGAACTGCATCTCTGAAGAGATGAACGAGATTTTTCAAAATTCGTTCACATAGCCACATGAAGTAGAGAGTATGACTAGACTAAGATAGGAATTATCGATTCTTTTTTAAAGAATTGATTTTTATTTATACATTCATTTATTTTAATTTGACCAGAGAGAGGGAAAGTGAGAAAGCAAGCCACAAGGTCCAGGACTCAAACCATGGTCGGCCATGTAGGAGTGTCCAGCACCTTAATCACCACGTCACCTGGTATCCCCAGAACCTATCAATTCTGTTTTTCAATTTTATAGATCCAAGTGCTGAAACCACTTAATCCATATAAAGGAATGAACAAAAAGATGTACCATAGCGAATTCTGTAGATTCCTTTGGCATCATCTGCCAAGAGTTATAGTAATGTGTTAATCAAAAATCACTTTTAAATGCTCTGTGAACTGATAGCTCCATTCGGTGCTCTTTCAGGTTTGTTGCAAGCAAGGAACTGAAAGGCCTCCCTGGCCCCAGGCCCACAGTGACTGGCCACTTCACCTGCCAACAGGGAAAGTCCCATGTCCCTTGGTCCCACAGCATGACCAGGTCTGCCATGGGTACTTCGAGTGTGCAGTTCTGTTGCAGATAACCAGCTTCCTGTGTGCCAGACCCGGCACCAGCCAGCTTACCTGAATTAATTCAGACAGTCCTCACAACAATCCCAGGGGATGAGCACCAAGGTCATCCCCATTTCACAGATGGGTAGACTGACCCACAGACTGCCTAGGCCACAGGCCCAAGACGATACAGCCAGAACTTGAGCCTGGGCAGCCTTGCTCCTCACCGCCATGCACACAGCCCCTGGATAGAGGGAAGGAGGGACAATGCGAAAGAGACCGCTGGGCAATAGGGAAGGAAGGTTTACTAGCTCTCTCCAAGCCTACTGGGAAGGAGAGGATTTGCACATTTCACTTTATTAAATATTCTTCCCCCAATCTTGGGAAAGCTACACACCAATGTTCCTTAAAGTCAATGCCGGCTACACCACAGCCCAATAAATGCTTGATACCGATATTGCTGCTGCTGCCACCGACTAGGAAGAGAAACAACGCCAAGACCAGGCCCTGATCTGAGCACAGCCTGGGGTCCTGAGCTAAGGCTCTGGCTCTCGCTTTCCAGATGAAGGCCACAAGCCAGGTTATAACAGGCATGGAGAAACAGTAAACAGCAGCCTATGAACACACGGAGGAGACCCATTGAGCAGACTACTGGGGGAGAGACAGAGCTGAATTCCCCAGGACAGGTCTTGGCACTCTGAACTTCGATTTCCTCCTCTCTAATGGGGTCATGCCACCCACATCACTAGAGCCTGGTGGAGGTCTTGACGCAGCAGATACACAGCACACTTCCTGCCTGCAGCTTCCAGGCCCTGCAGCCTGGGGATCTGGGGCACAGAAGCCTAGCAAGTTTTGAAAATCCAGCTTCCAATTTTTGTAGAGAGCTTTCCTCTACATCTCAAAATTCTAAAGTTCTCCACACACTCAGGGATGCCGGGAAGAGGTGAGCAGAGAGGTACCACGGTGAGTTTTATTTTTAGATGCTAGTGTAGAGAACATCTAGTTTGGCTTCACTCTGGTCCCCAGCCACCACTTCCTCCCCCAAGCCATCACCCAAATGAACAGCATATCTTTCACATCTAGAAAGACTTCAGAATCCTTCTTCTGCCCGAGACAGTCAAAAACAATGGCTCTAGCCTCCATTCCACCCATAGGCTGAGTGGATTCAAGGGTCTGCCTAAACCTTTCCAGGAGCCCATGTAACCCGAATCTGCCACCCCAGTGGTCTCTCACACCATCTCTCCTCGCACAGCAGGGTACATCTATGTGTTCAGGTTTGGGGTTACATGTAACAGGGAAGGCACCTTTCTTTCCTTCTCCAGCACTGTGGTTGTTGGTGAACTCACCTCCTCTACAAATGGAGCAACTTCCCCGTGTGCCCTTGCAAGTGGCTGCAGGGAAGCCTGAGGACGGCCCTTAGCACAGGGAGTTCCAACTAGGAGTCGCAGGCTCCTGGGGGGTAAAGCGGTGTTTGCAAAGGATGCAAGGACTTCCATGCTAACCATCAGAAAGGGCTAAAAGGCAAATCCAAGATGTAGCATCCCAGAGAAGGAGCCAACTGAGAGATCATCTAACTTCATGATGAAACCTACAACCGCGCCTCCTCTGCCCATGCCTGTGCCCTTGGCAGGCATTATCAATTAATCTCTGTGCTCAGCCATTCACAGATCTAGAATCATCTGGGGAGCTGCTACCAACCAATCAGAAATGGCCCCTGAAAGCACCTCTCTGAGCTGTTTCTGAATTCCCGCTGCCCACATTTGATAGATGGAAAAATTAAGATCCACAGAAAAGTTCAGTAAAGGTCACACAATTTTACAGAGCCAAGATGAGCCTGGATGAAAACTCTACAGCTGATGAGGGGCTTCCAGAAACTACCTGCCCATTTCAGCTGGGTGGCAAGTTCAACCCAAAAATTCCCAGAAAGAGGTCAAAAGGAGGACTTCAACAATTCTACACCAGAGCTATTGGACAGAGGTGCCCAGCCCCACCCCACCAACCACCCTACCCTAGTTCCAGAAACAGAGGAGGCTCTGAGACCTCCACTAGCCCCTTTGGGTCTGAGATCCTGAACCATCTTTAACAGGAGAAGCGCCCACTTCCCATCCCTCGTGAGTCACACCCACAGCAGCAAATGTGCTGGCCAGCAGGATCCCCTAGGGAGCCCCACCCCGCCCGAGAGCCTCCTCTGGAAGGCTCAAACTCCTGCTTTCTGGGGTATGGCTGCTCAGAGCCAGAACATTCCCAGGCGAGAGGCCCAGCCCTGTACCTGCAAGAGCTTACTCCTTCCCTCCCTCCTTTGCTTCTTCACCCCTCCCTCCATGCAGCCCCCCTTCTCCCTCTACCCCTCCATCCAACACCCTTCCTTTCCCCTCCTTCCACTTTTCCTTCCTTAAGCCTCCCTCCATCTTTCCTTCCTTTCTTACCCCTCCAGCCAATCAGTGCTTGACACACAGAGGGGATAGGACAACAGGACACTGGCTGGGACCCTGCCCCCTCGCCCTCCCCACGCCCAGCCCAAGCACTGCCACGCACCCTCCTGCCACGACCCTGTCTCATGACTCCCAAACAAGCTCCTTCCACTCTCCAAACAACCAACCCAGCCATGGCCACCCGGGGTATAAACTGGGTCACATCCACAGAGTGAAAGTTACAAAGATGATGTCGTGAAGGGAAGGCAAGCTCCCGGGGTCTTAAGGAGGGGAGAAGGTGACACTAAAGGCCTCTCTGCCCAGACAACGTGAAGGCACGGTGTGTACTCACCTGTACGACTTCTATGCCACGCTTCCTGTGGGGAAAAACAGAAAACACGGTTACTCCAGCTACTTGGGAGGGCAGGAAAACAGCATCCTTTCCAGAACCTTCCCTATGGCCTGCTGGAGGCAGGACAGTAAGGAGGGTGTCAGGACGGCTGACAGTGGTACCTGCTACACAACGGTCCCCAGAACAGCCCCATTCACAACACAAAGCCGTCTTCGGCCTCAAAGTGTGAGGTGGTTCCACGGAGAACTGGCTCGAGCACTACGCACACCACGCGGCCAACACCTCCTTCCCCAGATCTGAGGCAAGGCCTTCATGGGCAGAGCTGCAATCTGGACTGCCAAGACCCTCCCCACTAATGGCCTCTGTCCTTGCTTAATTCAGCCACTGCCCTGGCTCCTCACGGCCTCCCACATCAGGCCTGACTCCTTGGTCTGACCGCCAGGTCTGCCACAGCCAGTCACACCCCACGCAGCCACTCTCTCCAGAAAACCACAGCCTCCTCTGGGCCCAAGCTCTGCAGTCTAGTCCAGCTGCTTTTCCAATACACACGTGTGCGCGCACACACCCGCACACACATTGCCCATGCTTTGGCCCCTAGTTCAACCAACACAGCTCTGACCAACTTCTCCCAGCCTGGACCTCCATCCGCCACCTCCCCCCACCCTCTCTCTCAAACTCCCATGGCCCCCGACTTGTCCACCACGCCCCCTGATTCATGCCACCCGATTTGGAAGCAGGGTCTAGGTCTGCCCCATGTACACAGGCTCACATGGCCGCCCACCTCCATGGCCCCAGCCCATGTTTCCCACAAGTGCCAGCAAGCACCCGCCTCAGTGCAGTTCCAGCATGCAGGGCCATCCCTCCCCACGCCTCAGGGCCTCTTTCCACCCAGCCACGCACTCCATCAGGCAAAGGTTCTTCCAGGGACATCTCTGACTGCGACGTTCTACCCACCGCCACCACACGCTCTCCAGAAGAACCCAGGGCTATGGTGATCTCAGCCCTTTGGGCCAGAATACTGATCATTTTGTCCAGAGAGGCTGCTGGCCGGGCCACCAGGATCTGTGGGGACCAAGCCTGCAGGGGGCATGCGACATATATTCCACTGGGAGGAGGGCCTGGCTGCAACTCACTCACCTAGGTTCCTCAGAGCAGGGAGCACACACGGTATTAAAGCTCCGTGCGCCCATGATGCCCACTGGGCACACAAACACGCAAGCAGTAGCCGGTAAATGATGGCGCTAGTACGTGAAGCCCCGGTTTGGTTCCTGGGCTGGCACCCAGAGGGCACAACAAAGGTGACAGTCACAGTGTGGCCCTCAAGGGGCTCAAAGACTAAGGGAGGAGATGGGCGCAAAGCCCCATGGACACCTTTGGGCCACTGGGAGCAGACACCTCCCATCACACCATGAGAGGTGACACCTACCAATTCTCACACCTGTTCATGAGCCCTCCCAGAACACCTCTGAGAGCCAGGCACTGCATGGAACCTCCTAGAGGAGCCCCAACACGAGACAGGAAGACAGAGGCCAGAGGCAGGAAACGCCCAGCAGCCTTCCCATCCCCCTCCACACCTCAACAGAACTTGGCCCCAAGGAACCCGTCTGAGAACCTCCCAGTCAGTGCTTTCTAGGGCCCCCCCATTACTCGGCCTTTCCGGTTCCAGAGGGAGCACGGCCAGTAGCCGCCTGCTCCCAAGACCTCAGAGGGACGGGCTGGACGCGGCGTAGCAGCATGGCCCTGGGCCACCAGAGTCCCCACGCAGAGTCGGCACCACCAGGCACTGTGACACACCTGATGCTGGCTCACAACCCATGCCATTTCTGGGCAGCTGTGGCCAGTTCAGAGCCCCCACTTCTCCCAGACCACCCTGGCCCCCCAGACAGTTGAGAAAATGGACAGGAGCCGCCCCAGGTCACAGGGCGACGCTGTGCCCAAGCCTCTGCTCCAGATGGAAGCCTCCCACTTCAAATGGCTGAGAGTGGACCACGCGATAGGAAAGTCAGGGACGAGAGGACGACCCACACTGGGGGAGGGGCTGGCTTCTGCCGGGCTCCAGGCCAGGCCTCAGTTTCCCTCGTGTAAACCCTCCCAGGTCCACACTGCCCTGGTGTGCGGCTCCCACCACTTTACAGAGCCGACTGCGATCGGGTCTGACACCATCCTGAACAGCGCTCCCTCTCCCAGCCCCTCAGAAAAGTCTCTGAACTTTGAAAATAGATGGAACACGTGAAGGAAGAAAGCAACAGCACAAGTCATTTAGAGAAGAGGTTGCTGGAATTCGAAGTGGGGCTGAGTTCCAGGAGTCACTGAAGTCCCTCCCTTGCTTAGAGTTCCAAGAACAAAAGTCCTGCTCAGGAAAAAAAAAGAGGGGGTTCAGCACCCCTCTGAGTTCCATCAGGCCGCAGTCGTACACTAGACACCCTCGAGCTCGCTGCTCCCTGACACCTTCCACCGCCCCACCAGGGAGGAGGGGTGACTGCCCCTTACACGGATGAGCAAGTCGAGGCGGAGGAGAATCAGCGAGTGCAGAAGCTGGCCCTGCAGCCAGGCTCCTTGCACCCACTCCTCCCCCACTGCGAGCCCTACAGGCGCTGAGAAGGAAGCCGGTCTCCAACCTCCAGGGCCTCTGTGTAATGGGGCCACGAGGGGGCAGGCCAAACCACTTCCCTCCAGGCAGAAGCCGACCACAGCCTCTCAGGAAAATGAAATCACCTGTCGGGCGTGTTCCTTCATCCCAGAACTTCTATAGCAGAGGTACAAGATAACCTTGATGTCCCCAAGGGCAGGTGACTGCAATCCTGCTGTGACCAGAAAGATCAGAAACTGAATCATGACACCAAAGGGGAAGAGGGAGAAGGGAGGGCCATGGGGTGGGGGAGGGAAGAGAAACCAGGGGACTGGGGTCAGGGCAGAAAATGTCCTGTCCAAGGTAATGCAGGTGGGAGCTCAAGTGAGGGTGTCTAGCTGATTAACCATATTTGATTTGGCCAATTTAGGCCCAGTCACAGCTGATAGAGTCAATGATCAATGAGATGAGAAAAATAAGTGGGCCCAGCCAAGGATCAACCCACATGACCTAGGTTAAAAACATTAGAAACTTCTCAGAATGTAACTGCCAAGGCCCTTGAGCCACCCCCTCCTTTCCCTCTCCCCCGAGATGCCCTATCTCTCGAGAGTATACTTTTGCTTTTCATAAATAACCCTTTGCTGTCACCATTGGTGTGTTTTAATTCTTTGACTAAAACACCAAGAACTTGGACAGAGCCAAAGACATCTGCAACAGCTTGAGAAACACTCCAAGCATGTGTGTGTACATGTACACCCAAACTTCAGACAGGAGAACAGAGAAGGGACTGCAGTGCAGCCATCTCCCACCCCCATCCCACGCCCTGGAAGAGGAGATGCCCTCACTTTCTATCTCTCTGTCTCTCTCAGGCGAAAGTTCCATGCCCTATAGCAAAAACCTCAAAAAAGCCACAAAGCTTTGTGAGGCAAACCCTCATGCATGGGAAAGCTCCTGGTTCAAATCCAGAGACCTCCAAGTACAATGGTCACACAATCCAGAATGAGCAGAAGGTTGGCTATGAGAGTGGTCGAGCCCCTGTTGGGATGATGTCTCTTTTACTCTCTTAATTCATGTAAGAAATAAAATAAAATAAAATAAAGAACTTAAAAAAAAAAAAAAAGACTTCTCTCCAGAAGTTCAAGGAGAATACATCCCTGGAAAATTTTTAATACTCACAAAATAGATCCTTTTGGAGGAGGTGGGATAGCAATCAGAGATGGCTCTGTGAAGAGGCAACATTTGCATCTGAGAGAAGAGCTGCAGGGTAAACCCAGAGAGTGCTAGGGAGGAGCACCAGCAGGTGGCGTGGTGGTTAAGGCGCTGGATGCTCCCACATGGCTGACCAGGATTCAAGTCCCGAGTCTGGTGGCTTGCTTTCTCACTTCCTCTCTCTCTCACTCTCACCCTCTGTCTCTCTCTGGTCAAATTAAAAAATAAATGAATAAATAAAAATAATTATTTAAAAAAAGAGAGAGAGAGAGGAATAATATGAGACATCCCTTCTAAAAGGGCATCTGTGGCTGTGGGCGCGCCCAGACCCACTGAGGAGTAGGTGGGAGCAAGAGGAAGGACAGGTGACATAGACAGGGGCTGGCCCCAGGCCCAGAACGCTACCTTGAAGCCAGGCCTTTTCTCTGCAATCCAGTGGGTCCCAAACACCAAGGCAGACAGCCTAAACCACCACTGAAGCTTGTCAAAAATACTAATCTGGGAACCAGCTGGTGATGTGGTGGTTCGGACGACTAGACCCCACATGCTGAGCCCACGTGCACTTCAAGTCCTGGATCTGGTGGCTTGAAAACCACTCCGGTGCACGTGCATACGTGCCCAAAACCTTGAGAAAAGAATGGAGAAGAGACTGTGGAGTGGCTATCCTGCCTTGGGGGTGGATGACCTAGCGCTGAGGGCGATAGGGTGATAAAGGAGTCCAGGAAAGAGGATCAAAAGCAGGAGACGCAGACAAGGGCAGTACAGGGCGGAGACGTCCATGGTGCCCACGGCATGAGGCCGTGTTCAGCCTGGACCCGGGCCGCTGGATGTGGCATGGGCAGGTTAGCGCAAGACACTCCGGCCGCTGAGTCCCCCCGAGCAGCAGGCCTGCCTCCCAGCAAAGCACAGGACCGCAGCTTTCCTATCTGTGAAATGGGTGTGACCTTTCCAGCCCAATCGAGAACCAGTCAGCTAAAATGGGGAAAGTACTGAAATGGTGAGCAAGCAGGGAAGGCTGTCACAGCAGCTGAGACACGGAGGTCCCCTCTGACCAACACAGAGAGAAAAGTACAGTGACCACAGGCAGAATTTCAGGAGAATCCTCAGAGCAGCAAAAGAACAGTGAAGTCTGTCAAGAAAGGGGCCCTTGGGTTCATCAAGAACCGCTTTCCCACAGACACAAGGTCACAGCCATCATCCCAGGCACAGCTGGGGGCTGGCTGCTCACAAGGGCCCAGCAGGATAAT